AGGATTGACACACAATTAGGCTAAGAGGCAGTTGCAGTGGTTTAGTAAGGTATAAATATTCATTAATTATACTATAGTTCCTAGGGTGCAGGTCTAGTACCGTACTCTACAGTACCTACTGTATGTTTCCTTGGCAAAAGCCAAAGGCAGCAGGTATTGGCTGATTATTAAACAATCAAACAACTGGAAATGCGTGTAAACGTCTGGTAATGCCATGAAAAACAACATATTCTTACTCCAGGGAAATTCCCATTTCTCGCTAGACGGTCGGACTGCGTTAAATTTTCAACATCAGTTTAGTTTTATAAAATCTAATACAATAAAATACAGTATTTATAGGGTGCGTTCGGGCAAGTTTTTTTTGTACTTTCTGGTCCCTTGTGGGGATGGCTTGCCTGTATTTGGTAAAGACGTCAGTCATTACTAAGACATTTTCAAGATTGTTCCTGCCAGGTTCCAGTGTGGTAAAGTCGATTGCGAGCACTTCCAGTGGGCGCTTAGCTATTAGTGAACCCATTAAAGGACGTATTTTCTTTCCTGTTTTTGCGAGGGTACAGCGGGAACAAGTGTCGCAGTATTTCTGAATTTCGTCGACCATTCCTGGCCAGTAACACCGTCGATGAGTAACAGCTATAGTTTTCTGGCTTGCCTGGTGACCCAGGTCATCATGGACTGTTTCTAAAATTTTGCCTTTGAGAGACTCTGGAAGCAGCAACTGTTTGATCTTTTCCCCTTTTTCTTCAATATTCCTGTACAATACACCATTAATTTCAGAGTCTACCCCAATCTCTAAGAAGCTTTCTAACATCTTTCGATTCTTTTAGCAACTGGTTTCTCTGTGGAGACTTCTTGACTTTCCAGTACTGTAATAGGCGCCCAATAGTATGGTCTGCGTGCTGCAACTTGGCCATATCTACTGCTGGGATTTCTGGGATAGTGACTGATGCTTACATTCTTTCTTCGCTATCAATTTCAGAGTTGGATGCTTCAGAAAATAACACTTCTTCTAGCCTAGGTCTGAGTGTTTTAGGTAATAATGTCGAGTATTGGTCATTAGAACAGCATGTAGTTACCTCTGTTATCTCTTCAAAGCGTGCCGAAGTTGGTTCGGGGCCGTGCTCGGTTTTCCGGCTTAATGCGTCTGCGTTAGCATTAGTTTTGCCTGGTCTGTATTTTATCGTGAAATTAAACTGGGCTAGGTCAGTCATCCACCTTGTCTCAGTTGCTCCTAATTTAGTTGAGGTGTGGATATGGGTAAGAGGGTTATTGTCTGTGAAAACTGTAAACTCACTTCCTAGTAACAGGTCACGAAACTTCTCAGTGATAGCCCATTTAAGTGCTAGAAACTCAAGCTTCATACTACTGTAATTTAGCATATTTTGCTCATTTTTACGTAGTGATCTGCTTGCAAATGCCAAAACAACCCGCTTCTCATTCTGATCTTGGGACAACACTGCTCCTAATCCTCGGTTGCTAGCATCCACCTCCAAGACGTATGGTTTTGTAAAGTTAGGGTAACCTAGAAGTGGTGCAGTGGTCAGCTTCTTCTTCAAAATACTAACAGCTTCAATGCAGGCTTCCGTCCACTTTTCAGAAAATTTGGGTTTGCCTATAACAGTTGGTCGTTTTGTCTTCGTCTTCTTTCCTGTATCCCCTAGAAGTGAGTGTAAAGGAGAAGCGATTTTCGCAAAGTCTGCAACAAAATGACGACGGTAGCTGCACAAACCTAGAAAAGAGCGAACTTCAGTTTCTGACGTAGGAGTTTTCCAATTGCGAACTGCTTCTATCTTCTCTTGATCTGGCGCAACACCATCCGCAGAAACAATATGCCCCAAATACTTGACTTTTGTCTGGAACAAATAACATTTTTCTGGCTTTACCTTAAGATTCCTTTCTCCCAGGCGCTGCAACACCATATCAAGTCGCCCTAAAGTTTCCTCGTAGCTCGATCCGAATACTAGAATATCGTCGAGGTAGATGAGAACGGTCTGAAAATTTTGGTCACCGAACACTAAATCCATTAGCCGCATGAATGTTGCAGGTGCGTTGCATAACCCAAAGGGCATGCGAGTGAACTCGTATAAGCCACCCGTTCCAGTTCTGAATGCAGTTTTCTCGATATCACCCTCCTCAACTGGTACCGTACTTGGTGAAACCCATGAGCAAGGTCGAGGCTGCAAAAGTAATTGGCCCCCTTCAGTGCATCCAGAGCCTCTTCTATCCGTGGCAGAGGGTATGCATCTTTGTGCGTCTTCTCGTTTAGTGTACGGTAGTCCACACAGAGCCTTAGCTTTCCATCCTTCTTCTTAACAAGTACGATAGGTGAGGCATACGGACTTGAGGATGGTCGAATGACACCTTTACTTATTGACTTCTCGATGTATTCACGAACCTCATCCCATTGATGCGGTGGGACTCTTCTGTGGGGTATCTTGACAGGTTTCTGGTCATTTAAGATTATCTTATGTTTGACTTCACTGCAAAACCCAATGTCATCTTCGTCTTTGCTAAATACATCTTGGTGTTTGTTGACCAATCCCATTAGTAGGTTATGTTGCTTATCATCGAGGTCCTTACTAATATTCATTTTTGACATCAGTTCGCTAACAGGTTTGCTACCATTTACTTGAACTTGTTGTAATTCTGCACTAATAGTTTGGTACTCGAAGTAAACATCTGGTTCTGGCTGTGCACTAGTGACTTTAGCAACTGGTGTTCTGGGCTGTAAATAAATATCGGTATCTGCAAAGTTTGCTATCTGTAATGGAATTCGGCCACGTTGATTTACCTCAACCAATGTCGGTGCAACAATTAACCCATTTTGAAATTCGTAACAACTACTTTCTTCTACAATTGCTTCATACACACCCATCTTAGATGATGATGTCGTACAGCTTACCGTTTTCAGTGTTCTGGCTGGTATAAGTATAGGCTTGTCTCCAGCTATTCGAACAAGTCTGCTAACGTCAGGAGGTTGAACTGCTGCGGCCACTTCTTCATACAAAGCTAGTGCATGAGTTAGATGTTTATCTTCTTCAGATATTCCTGATATTGCATCACCTAACTGCATATGTACCACACTTTCCTCATATCTCTTAATACATTGCAGCCTAACACGCAAGGAACTTGCCTTTTCCTCTCAGCAAAGGGAGAACCAATTACATCCTTCACTACTAAGAAACCCATGTTGTCGAATTGGTGACCCATAGCCTGGATAGACACCTCTACATAACCAATGTATGGAATCTCAAGCCCCTGAGCTCCAGAAATCTTCAAATGCGAGGAAACACCTTCTGTCTCTAAGTGGGCTAGATGTCTCTTGTAGAAGCTCCCTGTCATTGTGGAAACCTGGGCTCCTGTATCTATTAAACATCGAAGATTAACATTGCCAAGTAAAACAGTAATTTCTGGACATCTACCTACAGCTTTGGTTAGAAATGAGTCGTCAGTTGAGCTGCCCATCGCTTGACTCATAGCGTGGGGCTCACCTCGTTTAAAAAATTGTATGTGGGCCGGCTATGTGTTGTTGATCGGGTTCTTCTTGTTAAACGCGGACCGCCTGCTGATATCTATTGATAGTCCAACACTGCAAATTGCAGTGTTTTGGAGGAGCAAAAGTAGCATGCTTTAGCAGCAGGGGGAATCCTTTATCATTTCATCCCTTTTTGATTGCTCCTTATTTATTTCAACACACGTCATACGTCTGCCGCATACATACGTGATCGTGGTACCATTGCTTATTCATTTAACAATGGTAAATTTTCATACTACCATTATACTACCATTACCAAATGAATTTAAGTTTATTCTGGGTTTATACGGCCAAAATGAACATCTGCGATTTATTGGGAGTTTTCAATGTACTGTAGGTCCTACGTTTTATGAAGCTTATTGTTGTAGCTTCTTCGATCATTTCATTAATTGAATTTGAGACAACATTATGCAGTGTGCCAACGCCAATGTCCATTTCATAATTAAAGTGTGAGAAACTTGATAAAACTCATCATTTGCATAATACCTTAGGTCTTAACATCAGAGGTCAATGGTTTTTTGAAAGCCTACAGTAGTTCTGCTCGAACGGGTAGACTGCACGAACGGGTAGACCACCCGCCGATTCAATACCGGTAAGAACCCTATAGTGTAAATTTTTCCCATTCGACAAGGCTCTGAAATGCACCAATTCAAAAGTACAAATTATAGCTAAAATGGGTCTGTTTGGGTCATATTCTGTTTTTGGATGAAATTTCAGAATATATTTCTTGTTATAATATGAATACTAAGAATAATATGACTCGTACTCATTCATTGTGAGGGCGCATGTCATGGATAATGGCCGAAATTTAACAATTTTTTATGTGTTGAAAATGTGGTTATTTTGGCACTAAATGTTATTTAAAAAAAACTAGTTTGAATGACTAAACTACAAGTTTAAATGATGATTAAAACTACGATTTCAGTTCAATAATTTTTTTGGTTTCGAAAAATATCGATATTTTAGGCTTCAATTCAACATACGATTTTTTTACAAAATGGAAGGCCAAAACTCTTTAAATTTCACCTATACACAATCGCAGATTAAGTATGATCTATATTGTACTGTAAATTTAATCATTTTCAATTAAATGACTTTATTGTATATAGTTTCTAGAATGAAAAACTTTAAATTGAATATGGGTGATCATTGTGAATCTATACTGGGTATATATAATTAGTATATATATAATTAGGGAAGATAAATAAGATAATAAGCTGGTATAGGTGACCTTTGAACGCTATTTTGCAGAGTAGCACCTACAGACAAACCATCCAAACATGAAAACGTCATCCCGAGCGTGGAACATGTCCATATATACGGATAGACAGCAAAAGGTCCAGAGTTCGAGTCACGGCTGGAGCACCTATACACAGTCGCAGATGATCTACAAGTATGATCTACAATGTATTGTAAATTTAATCATTTTTAATTAATAACTTTTAAATCGAATATGGGTGATCACTGTGAATCTATGCTGGTTACCTCGTCTCAGGTTCGCTAGTAAAAGTTGTTTACGGTGGTTGGTTATAATTAGGGAAGATAAATAAGATAATAAGTTGGTGTAGGTGACCTTTGAACGCTATTTTGCAGAGTAGCACCTACAGGTAAACCATCCAAGCAAAACGTCAACACGAGTATGGGACATGTCCACTTTTAATAATCATTGTAATGGAACTTCTCGAGGTACTTTGTCTCAGGTAGGTCAACAGTGATTTTAGACTAAATCTGACAAATTGTATACCGGTACTGTACGATACTGTTGGAGAGTCACTTATTATGGAACGCAAAGACTGCCGTTAATGTTCGTTTACTACTACAGTTGCTGTCTCTTATACACATCTAGATGTGTATAAGAGACAGGGCATACGGGTCCAGGGTTATATTTTTTGCAGGTACATCACCAAAAGATGCATGCTTGTATACTATATACTGAAGTAGATCAATACTGATATATACATCATGGCACACACTAACAATAAGGAGACTTTTCGGGTGATGGAAGAACTTGCCAACACAACTATTGCGTTGAATAATGCTGGCAGATTACTTCAAATATCGTATTGTAGAATTGATCAACAGCTGGAGTACAATATATCCAAACTGCGGGAAAAATTTTCGACTTTCCATCTTACAGGAAGTGTGTATGAGGGTATTCCGACATTGTTTTGCAATGACCGGGACAAGATGAGGAATCGTAAAATGTTTCCTACTGTAGAATGCGAGCCTCCGGATGGAAGGGAAAGGCTTAAGTATGGGTATGTATTGGCAGAGTCATGTCCTGAACCAGCGTACCTGAAACTTAAAGCCGTAGATACAGAGTGGTTATGTGGTAAAAAAGTCAGACCTGCAATAGATAAAGATGGGTATCTTAATGTCGTTAATTTCTTAAAGGTTAATATGCAAAATGTCGACATTGATTACGAAATTAATGGCCCTGCGACTACCTTTAATGCCAAACATCCTTCAGTAATCAAAGATGTGGATATAGTTTTATGCTTAAAATCCAACTCATGGCCTCCTGTGTCTAAAAGTTTTTTTACTAGAGAGCGACTGAACAATTGGTCAACAAACATTCTAGAAAAGATCCAAAATGATGGCTGCTTAGTTGTTCCAGTTGGACGCCATAACAGTGCATGTAAAGATATTGAATGGAGATGGTCATTTTCCTTAGCAGAGCGAGAACTCCTTCAGGAAATGAATGGTTCGTTACCAGAATGTATGTTGGTGTTGAAGGCTCTCAAGAGAAAGTATATAAATTATGAAGAGTCTGACAAACCAAAACCATTTTGTTCCTACTATATCAAAACCGCTTGCTTGTGGGTATATGAAACGTTTCCACATGAAGATTACGGCATAATGGATTTGGTCAGAAAACTGCTTAACTGGTTGATCGATCGCTACGAGCACGGAAACCTGCCACATTATTTTATCCGCAGCCAAAATTTGATTGGTCATTTGTCAAAGAAAGTACGTTATGAAGTGCAAGAAAAGTTAAAAACAGTTAACAGTCAAAATCTATGGAAAATGGTGATGTCATGTGTAACTAGATTTAATTACGAGGGTGAAATAATAAACTCAATGTGTGATAAATTGGGGATCGCTAAAGTCAGTGAGGGTGATGACTATGAACAGCTGGAAGCCAATCTCTTGCATCATCCCAGAGCTAAGGAAGAGATTGAAAATGCAATTCGCCATCTATCACCCTGTGGCTTCATGTATGATAAATCTCAACGTGTAAACATTGTAAAATGGCTTTCATCCGAGTGTCCCAAATTAATTGTGGGACTTCAGAAATTTGTTGGTACTAGGCAGACTTCATTTACAGCAGCTCAAACCTCGACAATTTTAGCTATTCCTGAGGAAGTCATATTGCCAATAATATACAGCATAGATGATTTACTGCCGGATGGATATGGACAAATGTTCCGACAGTACCTGTATAGACACTTAGGTGATGTGTATGCATATTTATTTAGTTACTTGCTAACCAGAGGTTTCCCATTTATATGTCCAGATCTACATCTTTGCTGGCTTAAACCGAACTATTATTATACATTAGGGGCTGAAATGGTATTTCCTGACACGTGGAGCGATCATGGTGTTGGTGGACTAGTTCTACGGGCAAAATTCTTTTATTTGACGAACGATTATAAAAATTTGAAAGAAGTATTAATAGACGTTGAGCGCCGAATAAAATCTACCAAGAAAAGCGAAGAATACATGAACAGGTATATAAATATACAATTAGGAAGTCCTTTGCACTTGCCGGTGAGTTTATGGGCTGCTGATAAGAAAGTGCAATCTCTTGCCGCTTTATGCAATACAACGTTTCATTTGCATCCAATCGTCTTTGTCTTTTACATACAGGCTAGGGTCGCTTTAAAAGAAGGCGACATGGAGAAGGCCTCTGCAAATTTGAAAGATATGAGAGAATGTGCAACAATGATTTCGTCAATAGATCTAAAGAAGAGTACAATGTCTTTAATCAAAATTATAGAAAAGCAGGTAAACCCCCCGAACACAACAGGTATCTATAAATTTCAACTAACATTATAATCCACAATTATTATAATGGTTTAGGCTTGCCTAATAGCTGGCTTAATGCAAATATTTTTGACGTACCGGATATATAGACCTTTCCAGGGTGTAAATCGAACTTAGCAACTGAACAATCAGAAAAGAGTCAGCAATACGCGCGTGCCCAACAAATACAATTGTCCCACAAAAGAACGTTTTTCCAGTTCCGTCTGCTGCTGCCGCTTTGTTCTATGTTGCCTTTTTTTTTCATAATATGTGATTATTTCGTTTCTTCATCTTTTTTTTTTTGCCTTCCTCTCCCCATTTTCCCTGCTCGAGGTTGCCATTCTGTGAGTCTCTTTGTCCATCTATTTAGAGGTGGCGCCATGGTTTACCCCACGAGGTAAGAGGGTGGGGGAGCAGGGTATGGAAGGGGCGGGGGGCGAAGTCTCGGACAAAAGCAACGTGGGCGTGGTCTGCTTTCGCTTAATTTAAAGCTTTTGAAAATATGGCAATAATTTATATTTTTTTCAAAGGCTTATTTAATCGATTTTAGAGTTTACTAATACGTAGAGTATATATTTTTTTTGCTTTCCAACGAATTGTTGTTTTTTTCCAGATGAGGTGAGGAGGGGGTAGAGGTCGCCGCTGGCGCCACCTCTGCATCTATTATCTTAGATTCTTGATATGTGTCCAGCCCATCTCCACTTCATTTCCTAGATCTTCTATATGATATATTTTACCATTGTTTGATATCTAATGTTTTTTTTTTGGTTTGTTTGAATTCCAATTGTTTGTTTTTTCCCACATCACATCCAACAATCTACATCAATCGAACAGTTCAAATTTTCCCTGAAGAGTTATTTATTTAATATTCAAATGCTCAAACAACTTTTACCTTTTATTTGTTTTGTAAAGCACTGTGATATCCTTGATAGAAGTGCTCTAATCACTGCATTATTATTATTATTATTATTATTATTATTATTATTATTATTATTATTATTATTATTATTATTATTATTATTATTATTATTATTATTATTGTTATTGTTATTATTATTATTATTATTGTTATTATTATTGTTGTTGTTATTATTATTATTGTTATTATT